CAGTTTCCTACCAGGCTGTGACTACAGAAGGCGAGGTAGTTAAACGTCATGTGGATCAAATGCGGAAACGTATTCCTGATCCGTTGACTGTTTCGTCCGACCCTAGTATATCATCTCCACCAGCAACGAGTGTTCCAGACTTCCAGAAACTTGAGGCCCAGACATACCATCGTCAGGCCAACCAGGTTCAAAGCCTTTGTTCTATCCTAGGGCAAAGGGGTGTTGTGATGTCAACCGACGTCACCTTCCGTCATCACTACGAGTCAACGACGACAGCCTGTAGTTTCTGAATAGCGGCGCTGCCTTACCTTTCCAGAGAGTATATATACCCATTCCTAATAGATGTTCATCGCTAACCTTGTTACGTGCTGTAAGCATGTTATTGTTATGCTATGTATTTATTGTTATGTTATGTTATTGTTTATTGTTATGCTATGTATTTATTAAACTTATACCTTTGTTATCATGTGTCTTGATTGGATACCACCAAGAATATCTCACAACACAACACTTGTTTTCAGTTTATCAATGTAAAAAAGAATTTAAAACCACTTAAAACAATTTAAAAACATTATTAATAAACTGATAAAGCTATTCTTCGAAGAGCTATATTTTTTCTAAAGCTATAGTAAGAAAAACTGCTAAAGCTAAAATTTAAAACGAAATGATATTCTTGTAACGGTATTTTTGAATTTCTAAAAACTGAGAAGTAATACATAATATAAATGTATTCTTAGGAGAGAAAAATATGGTAATTGTTCATAGTCCTTTAAAAATAATAAAAAGGTAGAGGAAACAACCAAAAACGGCTGCAACTAAAAGACAGAAAATATCTCCCATGCATAAAAATTATGCTAGATGAATGAAAATTGTAGCACACAATGCACTGTGTAATAAACTGATACACGAAACATAAAACAGAGGGTGCTATAGTTACATTAAAAAATATATTTAAATGTTTATTGAAAAAATGTATAATTTACCTACAAGAAATGCATAGTACACAATAACAGAAAGTGACATATTTTCTATTCTAATCCAATAATTTCAATTAAAATTTGAAAAAATGTTTCTTTTTAAATCAGATCATCAATATGAAGCTCGGAAATACTAAATCATGTTTATGGTTACAATTATTTTCTGCTCAATGCTTACAGTCAAGATGTTTGAAGCTATGCTATAAATCAATTCGGTTCAATTTTCTTCATGGAAGTGAAAATAATGTTTAATATTCAATACTATCAAGAAAAATAAACTAAAAAAAATTCGTTAAACATTCAACTGCACAAAAGCAAATAAAAAGTAAGTTATTTTTGCAAAATATTAAAATGATCATCAAGTATCCAATAAATACATAAAAATTAAATTTTAGTAATATGCAGAAAAAGCTGGGAAATTAAACTTATTAAGGTACTTAGGGTCTTTTTAACCAAACAGTAAGTAAAATTGCATAATCTATTTTTATAACAATTTATGAAGGTTAAGATGATTTCTTATTACACTTAATTTAATGAAAACTGCTATAATTAAAAATAAATGAAAGGTCAATTTTAGTATTATTAATTAAAAAAACATATAATAAACAAATTTGGAAAAGCATAAAGATGCATATTCTTTTTCAACCCACATAAATGAGCCCTAGTTTGAATAACAAATTTTTTGAGGGATTTTACAGTTCCATTTTAATTTTAAACAATAATAAATATTAATAAAAATATAATCTAACTATTATCTGAATTTCATTTTATAAGAAATATGAAAATGCAGAAATAGTACATTTCAAAATATTCCAAAATGATAAATGCCATGTTTCCTGATGCAAAGATCAACAAAGCAACACACAAATTTATAAAAATCCTTAAAATATATAACAAAACAGATTGAATCTTTGCCTCATCATTGAATTGGGTATGGTTCCTAAACTGGAATTCAAATACATAGTTGAATATGAAAAGAATAAAAAAAACAATGCCTACTTTTATGAAATGATTGGTTGGAAATAAACTTACGGTTGAAGTAAAACTATCTGAAAAATTTGGTTAACTACATAAGCGTAAGGCTTGTATATAACAGGAGTTGTTTTTCTATTTATTACAAGGCTTATTTTAGCTAAATTAGTCATAATTTCTTTATTATATTTCCTGAAATAAGAGAGGAAACTATGACTAACTGGGTTCTAAAATCAAAGTAAAACTAACGATTATTATTTTCTTTAACATTATATTTAAAATTCACAAATTCAAAGCTTGCCAATATTTTTTTCAAGTTTTATAGTCTGAGCGCTGTTTAACAGCATCTGTGAGATAACAAATAAACAATCTTGTGCTGTTAAGGATCTCTGTACTGATCAACATAAGTGAAACATTCATGCATATGCTTATACATGCTTACCTGTTTTTCGAAATTTTCTTAAGACTTAATCATAAAAAACTACTATCTTACAAAGAATGAAACTGAAATAACAGAAAAAAAACTTATAAGAATGAATATAAAAATAATAAGTAAAGCAATATGTGCAATAAAAAGACAAAGTGCATTTTACTAACACATTCAATAAGTGTTAGTAAAATTGTAATAGAAACATAAAATAATAAACTAAACACATATAAGAGCATGCATATAAAACTATTATCAATCATAAAGCAATGCAAAAGTAAGAATTAATTTACACTTTGCTAAATATAGTAGAACTTTTGACACATGCACATTGCAATAAATATTTATAAATTAAAAAAAATAATATAAAATATCCTTGAATACTGTCATTGAAATTAAAACTTCACAAGAAATAGAAGAATTGTTATGTGTTCTTTTCCAGTATATTTCTGCTTAGATTAATTCAGCTGAAAACAATATTTTTTATAACATTATTAAACTCTACTGACATAAAAAAAAAAGAAGAAATTACTGTATATCCTATAAGTTGGCTTCCTATTTTTTTGTATGTTGGGTGTGTATGTTTACTGCTAAAAAAATATGAAATTATAAAAGTAAAAAAATTATTAAGTCAATAAAATTTTCTTATGTCACATTGTTCTCACTGGATATGATGCGTTTGCCTTCAAATAAAGACGCCATAAGGCACCAAGTCAAATTTAGATGCATTATTAAATGCTTTAAGGTTGCCAGTTAATCAAGAGAAAAATACTTAAAAAAAAGAGGAAATATTCGCACTGCTCCAATAAACACCATGCGTCAAATGATACATAAAGGGTGGCAAAAATGTGGATTCAAATCTTATTGCAAAATCTTTTAAAAAGGGTGGAATCTTAAATTCACTAGTAGATGAAGCTGAAGGCAATTTTTTGTGGGACCCAGTAGATGAGGATGATGCTGAATATATTTGAGAATAAGATCTGTATGATGATACTGCTAACATTATTGAATCTAACAGAGATGATGTTCAGGAATTTTTAAATCTATAGCTTTAAGGTACGTTTTAAAATTTTTCATAGTGTAGTATTTTTTGACACCCTCTTGAAAAATTATCTTAACTTTTTTTTTTCTTTCTGAATGTAATTTAAAGTATTGCTTCTAAAAAAACCTTTATATGTAAAGAAAATATGGCAAGAGACAATGCAAAATTAGTTGTATATAGCACAGTAAAAATAGTTTTTGAAATGTGCAAATTGATATAGAGTTATTTATATCTATCTCGATGTTCACAATGCATCAGTATTTCATGATCAACAAAACTCTGACCTTATTATTGTTGTATAAGCTGACCCTCAAATTTTCGTTAAGTTTCAGTGGTTTGAAAAGTAAACTTACACATCAGGATATACAATATAAATTATTTTACAACATACTTGCTTTCTGAAAGTCAAAAATTAAAACTTTTAAGTATTTATTTACAATTTCAAAGCAAACTGTCTAAACTAAACTGCTGAATTATAGCAAAATTTTATAATATGCGAATAAATCAACAAACAATTATTTTTAATCAACCTCTATTTTTATTTATAATTAGTTTCAAAAAACTTATAAATGCATCATGTTCCCCTTTTAATATTATTTTTTAATGATTATTACTTTCATACTAACTTAAAATTTGATAGAATTAAAAGGAATGATGTAATTCAATATCTTTTAATAAACATGACAAGAAAAAACTTAAGCATTAACTAAATTTTCACAAGTAAAATGTGTTTATAGAACATTAGCTTATGTTGTAATACAGCAGAGAAACAATTATCTAAAACATTCGGTAATTACTGCTAGCTGATTCCAAGAACCATCCAGATAGCTAATATTTCTGGTTTTTTGGTTTGCATCAGCCAAAAAATAAAAAATACCTGCATGTCTATCATAAGAAACATTGTGATGCTGTGATTTGTGACTATTCTGAAATATAAAAAAAAATTGAAATAATGAAAAAAATATTATTAACAATTAGTATTTTCTTTTATGTAAGATTTAAAAAAACAATTTTTTTCAATAAAATTAACTTAGAGGTATGAAATACATCTCAATTAAATAATTTTTATAAAAAGAAGTTTTATTATTTCATTTGTTATATTTAAGCAAAACTTCAGTTTTCAGATACTTTTTTGAATGAAGATCAGAATTTATGCTTTTAAAAAATTTATACTAAAAGCACATAAAATTAACAAAGTGCCATAATTGTTTACAATTTCTAAATAATTGGAAAAGAACTTTGAACTCCCATAATTATATTAAAGGGATATTTTTGCTACTTTGTAAAGTGTTTCAAAGGAAAATCAACAATATAATACAATATAAATGTTTCAAAAAGTAAAATTCTGAAATTTGAAAAAAGTATTTGAAATTAGTTATAAAAAAATTAAGCAAAACTACTAAAACTTATGGTTGGCTTGCATCAGTTTAGATCAAGTCATTTTTTTAGATATTTAATAATTCAGATACAAGACACAATGAGTTAAATATGTGAAAGCCCCAATTCATAAAAAAATATTTTAAACAAACCATTTATATAAATAATGATAGTGAAATTATAAAAAATAATAATTGTAAAATACCATTTTCTATTTTCTTATAAAGATCATGGATAAATGAATTTAATTTTTCTTTTTCATCTTGAGCTAAATCTAAAGCATCACAATTCTTCACCCATACACCAAATGCACTAAAATAAAGAATAAAATTGTAAATATACAACTTTAGAGAATACAGTACTAAATACTGAATCATTATTCAGAGGTGTAGCTAGAGGAAAGAAACTGGGCATCTTTTTCCAGATGCAACATCAAGAGAGATTGAATTACATATTCTCTATAAATTACAAAATAAAATGTTTTGCCTTCTTAAAGTACCAATGATATTTTCCTTAGTACACACTTTGAATAAAACTATTTAAAACTATCCTAATACTTAATGAAAATTAAAATAGAATTTTAATTATCTATTTTCATAATATTCATGTTATTTTTATTTTCATAAATATTGTATAGAAATTCAGCTGATACTATATTAATTCAGTTGATACTATATAATTAATTCAGTTGATACTATATTAAGTGGATATCACCGTATTTTAATTTAAAATAATAATTAAAAAAAACACAATAACAAGTAACACGATAAATAAATTTTTGCAAAAAAAAATATTTTTGATTAATCGAGTTTTAAAAATGAAGGCAAAACTTTTTTGAATTGTTAAATTAAGTTTAGAGATACAGTATAACCTGACAAGCTCACTATCTTTGTAACTTAACCACCTGTCTAAGTTGACCTCTATTATTAAGAACCAAATTAATTCTATACGGTAAAAGAGATCAAATTTTTGTTACCTGACCACCTGTCTATCTCGCATGTTAACACTAAAATAAGTTACATTTGTCTAGGGGGCTAATGAATACAATTCTAAACCATTCATAAGTGGACCAGACACAGAACTTTTTTAAAATATTTTCTAAACCATTATATTTAGTGTTAAAATTTCACTGAATTAGTCAAATAGCGAGTGAACCTAAAGACTGTCAGAAAGCAAACCTAAACCTCTATGTGAGTTCACCATACATTTAACTACAGAGGGATTTTGCAACAAACAGTTTATTAAAAATGATGAAATAAATTTTAAAATGCTGAAACAAGTACAGGTTCAGTATCAGTTTTCGAATAGATATATGTACTTCATTGATATTTTAAGAAATTATTTATAATAAATAACTAAAAGAGTATGCATATTTGCTTCTTTTTTAAATTTTATTTGAACTAATGAGTTTAATATGACGTTTAACAAATTGTAGTTCATTTTGTAATTAATCCTATTTCATAATATACATTGGGTATTTGTTAAATTAAAATTTTAAAGTCTGAAAATTCAATTACATTTATCCTAATTTTGATAGTGGTTCATAAACAGTGCATTATGCATTTGGCATAACAAAAAACACAAATCATATAGCATAAGGTTTAGGGGTCTTGGAGGCCATGTGGTGATAAATCATTTGCCATTCATACAACCAACAAACTGCTTATAAACCCCAGATGACAAATTACGCAGCAAGAACTTAGAGAAAGCATTTAGAAGCCAGTAACAGCGTGCAACTAAATTTAGTTACAAATAAATTGTTATCGCTAACGACATTCATAGAGTTGAAGTTTTTTTTCTAAATTAACAAAAGAATATAAAACTTTAAATTAAAAAAAAAATAAAGTTAAAAATAAATTTTGTGTTTATTTTAGCAGCCTAAACATTTAATATAATAAACATAATGAAAGAAATTTTAATCAAGTTTTTTATTGAATGCATTGAATTAATTATAATTAAAATTGACAAAACGTAACTTCAACAAAATATAGTTAAGTTAAATTAAACATAAACTTTATCAGTGGGTGCTAGTTTTAAATCTAAACATTTTAAAACACAGAGGAATAATCAAAACATAAAAAGCATACCTAGTCCCTATACCTTGTCCATTGGTACCAACTAAAGCAATTAATGATCTAAAGCCATCAATGGTAAACCACTGAAAATATATATTAAATACGAAAGAATTGACATCAAATTTTAAATAAAATTTCAGACATTTAAAATCAGATTTATTCATAATGAAAAGGTTTAAAAAAACAAGACAAACTGCCACAAATATAAATCACAAAATCTTTATTTTAAAAACTATTTTCAATCAGTTAATAAAATTTCTTACCAAGTCTTTAAATAATGTGCAATTTTTAGTGGGTAGAGTATGTACAGTGTATAAAAAAAAAGTGAACATCCAAAATATCTTTTGATTTAATGAATGAAGAGTTAGGGCCAAATTTCAAAAATGATAACAAATTAGAGTTGATGATAGTTATGAAATCAGACAAAAGCAGACTTTCTTTGATTACACCTTTTTTTACTGAAAGATTTAGATTTTTGACCTTCAAAATGTGAAAGGCAGCCACAATCTAGAAAAAATGGTCTCTAAAAGTTATGTAGATGAGCATTCAAAAGTCTGGACCCTTAATATTAATTTTACTTTTTGTGTATTTCTCCATATCTTGAGAATTTTTATAAGATTCCAAAAATAATTCCGTAAAAAAAGTTTTTCATATTATTTATTACTGTCTTATGTAACAGTCAAAAAAATCTTTAGTTACAGGGTACAAAAATTTTAATATTTTAAAATGCCGAAAAACAAAATTTGAAAAAAAAATCAGTTGAATAGCTCTCAAACAATTTAAATTTAACATATACCACTTTTTAAAATGGGATAACTCAGAAACTAAACAATTGATTTTTCTCAAATTTTGTATTTTGTCATATAAAATTGCTTTTAAAATGATGCAAAAACCTTGTACCTCACAATTAATATTTTTTGACTATTATTAAATAAATAATTGAAATGTAATAAATAATTATTAAAAATTATTTTTAAATGAAATTAATATTTGGTTAAACAAATTCCATAACTGCCTGGAAATATTTTTCGACTTGCTAAAAAGTTCTCAAGACATGGCAAAATTCACTAAAAATGAAATTATCTAAGTGATAATAATAAGAGGTCGGAAATTTGACAGCTAGCCAGCTTAAGCTATTGGAACTATATTTTATGGATTGTGGCTACTCTTTATTTTTGTTCAATTGTAGTGGATTTGTAGTAACTTTCTAAACATTATCAAAGGTAAAATATGTAAGAGTAAATAAATATATATTTTTGTGCCAATGAGTTTTAATTAAAAAATTCGACCTGTAGTAAATCTTCATCTTGCAATCCTTTAATCATAAGTTGTCTCAAATGTTCAATCTGATTCTGTACAAAAAAAAAAAGATAGGTACATTTCAAGAAAGAAATGAAGTTGCTATCAGTGAGTTATTATTTCATGTTATGAGATAAAAATTTAATAAAAAATAAATATTTACCAGTTTAAAATAAATCATAGAAAATAGTAATAATATTATTAAAACATTATTTTAGATAAATCCATGAGGCAATTTCTGTTCAGGACCAAATCTAGGTAATAATGCTATTTATATAAATTTACACTACACATTTTGACGAATGCACATAAAGCACTACATATAAAGACAAATTCCACCAAGAAAGTTGAAAGTAATTTTCCCCAATTTAATCTCGAAAGAAAGAGTAAATAACAACCTATACAGGCTTTGGGTTGCTTTGTTGCTTGTGTCAGTGATGAAATACAGCTCAATGAACAGAAATGACATAGAAATCAATTAAAAAAAAATTACAAATATTTATAGAGTTACACATAAAATGTTATGAGTCAAATTCAAGATTCATCATGTATCTGGCAGAATTTTAATGGATGACAATATAAACAATGATGAAAAGTTTTTTGCTCAGTGTCAAGTCAAATAAAAATTTTAATGCCTAGACCAAGAAGAAAACGTTTATTGCCTGGGTGCAGATAAGATGGATAACCTTGATTTATAAGTACAGTACAGAACCCGTTATCCAGAATTCAGAAAACCGGAAAACCAAAAAAGCGGAACGAACTTCGATAAATTTTCCCGCCGTTTTTTTTCCTCATAAAATTTTAGGATTTTTCTTTCTTTTTTGAAAGATGTTTACTTTACAGTCATTTTGGAAATAATCATTAGTGTATTACTTCCTCGTTTTTTCTTCCTTTTAAGATTATTACCAAATATTTTTTTAGATGGGTTTAACAATAAAAAAAACGGCTTTTTGTAGCGATTCAGAAAACTGGAAAAATCAGTTATCCGGAATGGATATGGTCCCGATCGTTCCGGATAATCGGTTCCCTACTGTAGTAACATTTTTCAATATTGACAGTTGAACTTGTTTATTGTGAGACATGATTTAAGAAGATCCTGGGTAAAAAGAAAATACTTTTTAAAAAATAGTGGGTTTAACGTTACTCAACAACTGCTAAGCCAAAACATAACCTCATAATTTTTATTTTGTTAAGCTATTTTGGGTGGATAGAGCATTTAAAATATTTGCATCTGTGAATGACAATTTTCAGCTCCCTCACTGCATGAAATATTTTATAAAAATTAACATTCCAGAAACCTGAACAGAGATTTCCTTTCAGGCATTTTATGTTAAGATTAACTTACTTGCTATTATTAAATTGTTTACGGCAATGTTTCGTACTTGTAAACTGAAGAATTTCTGGTAATAAAATTTGAAATAGAAAGATTTGGATAAGATGTGGATCAAGATACTTTGTTTTCAAAAAGAGTAATAATTTTTTGTTTGTCCTTATGAAACTTACATGTAATTTAAATAATAGATTTTTAACTTTTTCAGTTTACTCTAACAAGCGAACAAGTTTAATGCAGCCTTTACTAAATCATTAATTTTTGTCAGCATTTTGTTTCTTCCTTAATTTGAAAGCTGTAATGTGTATACTCTTTCTACCTAATTTTTAACAAGGATTTCAAAAATATATATTAAATTGGTCACAATGAAATATTCTGCATACACTTTATATTGAGTTCTAAAACTATGCTTATTGTTATTTCGTAGCTAAAAAGTATTTCAAACAATTATTCAATAAATTTATTAATTAATACAGCAGATTTCATAAAAAATCAAAACCTCCATAAAATTGCAAAAACTCTTTTTTAATTTTGCACAAATCAACAGTACACTATTTAGGAAAATTTAATAGTATTTTTTAGAAAAAGCTGATTCACATTTCTACTGAACTGAAAAATACAGGAATAAAATTATCCATTGCTCTTTCTCAAAAAGGGGTGTTTTTTGTTTGTTGGCTCAATAAGCTTTATTTTCATCCAATTGGGTTCCTCCACCCTCAAGATAGCCGAAGGGACATTTAAATATCTAACATTAAATGAAAGTCTATATAAGATTAAAGATATTTTTTACGAACATAAGAGATTTTTATATTCAGAGGTTAGGTTCAAAATGACATAGCTACTGAGATATTCATAGTGGAAAATCCACAAGGCTGTACAATGCTTGTCATAAAACAAAATCTCTATCCCACTACTGATATATTTAAGGGTTTGTACTAATTCAATGTCCATTGTATACAAATTATATTAAAAAAACTAAGAAATAAACCTTGTTAGTTAAAATATTTTCATTCAATAATTGGTCATTTTATTAAAAATATTTTCAAAAAATTCAACACTTAACAGAAATTATATTAAAACTGCTATTAAAGTTTTAAGTAAATTAGACAAAAATGAATAACTTATAAAAGTACAATAAAAAGAAACTGCCTTAGGGAAATCAATCAATCTTATATCAATCACACATGTGGAAAGTTTCTCATAATTTGTTTTTTAAATATATTTAAAAGAAATTACAATTGCTCAAAAATATTAAAATAAATAAGACATATTTTTATAACTTAGAGCTATAAAATAAAATAAAAATGATGCATAAATAAATTAATAAAAATTTTCGCTATTTAAAAAAAATAAATTATAAACACTTTGCTAAAGTACTTTCATAGAAATATATTTCTTCACGTTTTTAAGGGCAGACCAATTAAATAATCCAGGCAAATACACCAAAATGATTAAAAAAAACAAAACAGATTGGTTTTCTAGAATTCAGCATTAAATGCTTATTCTTTAGAACATACCTGAAAATGACGTCCAAGAAGCTTATGAGCAATATCACCATTACGAGTTTTATGACAGAACTGAGAAAATAAATGTGCAGCCCCAGCTTTATCTTTTGCCTAGAAATATAAATACTTCATAAAATAAATTATGTAAATTAGATATACGTACATATAAGAACAATCTTTTGCATACGGTTAGATAGATTAATCTGTCCACTTTATTAATATTTCTATAACAGTAGCTTTAATTGAACATTTAGGTTCCCTCCTTCCCAATTAAACAAGCTCAACCACTAAAAATTTTTCAGTTTTTTAAAATATATCTGGAAATTTTTTTTTCTTCTTGAGAATGGTTAGAATATTATTTTTGAATTTATAACAAATTAAAAAGTACAAGAAGTACTCATATCAAGATGTCTGTTAATTGTGAGAGGAATTGCGAACCAATCACTGGCTATTCTTTATTATTAATGATATCAACAATGATTAATGACTATGATGACAACCATGACCATGATTGATGATTTACTGTTGAAAGAAAAAAAAATTATTCAGATTTTGTCCAAATATATGCTTATGTATACACGGTTTCAAAGGTGGGCAGAAAGCATGTTCCTTTTTGGATAAAATAGGAAGGATATATATAGAGAGAGAGAGTTCAAAATCAACAGTGGTCCATTGGCCTAAAATTTGACTCGGACCAAAGTGATTATTAATGGTCCATTAGATCAAAAATCTATGTAAAAGGATGGTATGCAGTATTTTTGGTTTTTAGTTTTGGTCTGTGTTATATATATGGGTCATTCTCACAAAAACTCATTTTTCAGTTCATAAAATCCCAAAAAAGTAAAGTGAATAAAAAACTCTGAAACTTTTTATATGAATAGAAATATGTAATGGCATTATAAAGAAAATATATATCCCTTAAATTACACTTAATATTTAAATAAATAAATTAATTTCACAATTTAAAAAGTGAGGGAATGACACTAATAGTGTGGGAATGATATTTTATTTTAATACATGTTTTTTTCTAAGTTTTCTCTACTTCTACCTCAAGTTTGAATATGATAATATACTAAGTATATCTAATATTTATTATAATTTAGTTTTATACATTTAATAGTTTTTACAGGTTTAAAAAATAAAATTGGCTGACACGATTGTCACATGGAATGGGTGGTAGAATTCTTCTTTTGATGTCTGTTTTTGTGTATTTATGTATGTCTTTTAGATAGGGCCATTTGTATTTTCCTCCATTTGTGGGAACCATTACATCAATTGTTAAATTTTTTGAATGTAAGATCTTTACTTCTCCAGGGTATAAAATTTTTTCATACTCAACTAGCACCCGATCTCCCATTTTGGTCTCTAATAAAAGGTCTCCAAGGAGTACTTGGAACTACTTAAATTTCCGAATTAGTCCTTAGAAACTCCTTCGGTTATTGTGTTGCATAGATGAACGTACTAAGTCAGCTGATGAATTTGCTGTCCAAGCAGGGGAATGAAATGATATGACTCAGCAGTCAAAATCTAATAGTTTAAGAAAAACTTTCAAAGAAAAAAAATTGAATTGCAAGAGTTAGAAGAAAAAAATAACAGCAAATAATTTTAATTTTACATGTTACAAGCAAATTTAATTAATGATTTACTGTTTTTTTCTCTTTGCATAAAATGCCTTAGATTTTATGTATTCAAATTTAAAAATATAAGATTGGTAGGTTTTTATGTTAATCTTTAACATCTGTACTATGTACTTTAACAAGATTTATTAAAATATTTGAAGCTGGAAAACATATTTATGTGTGAAAGTGATAACTTATTTTTCTTAATGAAGCTTGACGAAGTCAAAATTTATTTCAAAAGGGCTAGAAAAAAATATCTTATGCAAAATATACATTTTTGAAAGATCTGTATAGTTACAGCTTTTTGATTTAAAAAAAAAACTGCCTGGTTATCTTTTACGAAAAGTTTTTAAATTTTGGACTCCTTGGATTTCTTCTTCTGATCTCTGTTTGAACCCTGCCTATTTTGTAAGTTCCCAAATTATAATGTTCTCACAAAATTGATGCATCACATGCAAAACACAAAAGAGAGCGAAAATTCAATATGTTATTCCTTGAACTGTATGCAACTTGATGAACTTTCATAGTGCCAGTGAATGGTTATATTTCTCCCTCAATTAATTCATCACATTTTCTTTTGTCTTCATTTGTAACTTCAAATAAAGTTACTGAGCAATTTTCTTTTAATACAGAAACAAGTGTTTCGTAATTATGCACATCTTTTCCTTCTGTCACTCTCCGATCTGCTGTTTTTTTCATAACAGCTCCAATTCCGTCGGAAGCTCCTTTTCCATGTCCGGATTCATTATAGTTCCAAGTAAAGTTTAGAATACCAGGAGTAAGCTGTTTTAAGTGTTGGGATATCAGATGAAACATTTTTCTGTTTCTATATTGGGCTGATGGCCCATCACTTAGCATATGAACATGTTTTACTTCACTTGTACTCAAAATCCACTTAAAAATTGGTTTGAGATGAGCCCATATTGCTGTTGCATCATGTCGAAGTGAGGGACTTATTGTAGCAAAAGAGTTGGAAACTACTTTATTGCCTTCTTTTTTGTAATAAACTCCTGTATGTATAATTAATTACCTGTTGCCTACCACTTCCAAAATGCACTGACTGAATCTCTTCACTATATTTGCAACTATAATTTTCGCTAAAATCAATGTGTACTAGTATTGAATCTGTTGATAATTGTTTTTTCAGTTCATTCATAGTTTTATACTGATGAACTATATTTGTAATATGGACCATATATTTCGGTAAGTTGCCCTCTAGCTCATTAATTAAATTGGATGTACTAACTTTATATTCTATCTTAATTGGTTTATTAGAAATCTTTTCTTGATTTTTAACAATACATCTATTTTTTTCTAATACCCACTTTTTGTACTTGATTACTACCTTATCATTAAACTCTTTATAAAATGGCATTTTATCATTACAATTAGGACATTTTCTGAACAAACAATTTTCACAGCTGGAATCACAAGTTATTGCTTTTATTAAACACGCTGATGATTTATATTCAGTAATATTAATCTCATAAAGTTTTGAGATAATCATTTCCATATTAGCATGTACTATACATTTACATGTATCTCTATCGTTAATTGTTGGTTGCTTTACCCAAAATGGACGCATTCGACAAAAAGTAGGATAACTGATTCGACGATTTGGGTTTTCACTTAAATATTTTTTATGTAGATTTCTTAGTATATCAAGAAGCACTCTCTTTTGCTTCTTTATCTTTTTTCTTGTGATGCATTCCTTTTTACCTGAACACAATCTGGATACATCATCAGATTAAAAAAAAGCAACAAAGCTTTCTGAGGTTTCATAAGATATGTAATTTTTATTAAATTTTGATTTTACCGATTCTTTATGTTTTCTATATTTCAGAAATCGCTTTGAAAAGCACAATGCTCTGTACTTTTTCAGAATTTCTCCACTTAAAAGTTTATGAAATAACTTTTTTTCTCTGTGAGTCTTTGCTAAAGTTTTAAAATTAGTTCCTACTTGCAAACATAGTGCTTCACTAAAAACCTACTGCTGGTGATACTCTTTCCTTGCCCAGATGTTTATTTACGCGACTTCTTGGTGTCATTCTGTTTTGGTCTTGATTCTTAATTCTATATAATTGCTTTTTGTAACGTTCAGCTCGAGTTTTTTCAACAGATACTTCATGTTCAAGTTTATTTATCTGTTTTTTCAAATTTGCTCTATTTCTTGCACGTAACTTTATAAATCTAACTTTTCTTGAACTTAGATTATTATGCTCAGAAATTCTTAATGTGTTTTGTTCACTGGAAGGTCCCGGAACATTGTTATTCAATGAAGGCACATTCACATTTATACTGGATTCTGTTAGAGCTTGTTTTCTCAATCTGTAGTTACAGGAGTTTTTCTTCCATTGTTTCCTTTTCACCCTTAAATTAGGACTAGTCATTTGGGAGGCAGATTTCACTTGTCCTTTTCCCCTTTTTTTCAGGTATTTAATTCGTTCTTTCTGTTTTAAAATTAAAGAGGAATCTGGATTTGACTTCATTCGTTCTCTTCTTTTTCGATCATATTTTTTTTTCTTTAAACGAGCTTCTTCTTTAGTCTTTCCCATAGTTAAGCTATCTGGAAAATAGATTCTAATATTTCTTAGATTTTTCTTAAAACAGGCATTCTTATTTATTAAAATGCCTAAACTAATTAATTCAAGATCATAATTATATTATAACTGCTGTCTTGTTTCATACTATGCAGAATTCACAAATAAATTTAAATTTGGCATTTAAATAAAGTTCATCAAATTATAAAATTAATATTGTAAGTAATAATGTATTGTAAGTAATAATGTATTGAAAGAAATATTTTATTGTAAGTAATAATGTATTGTAAGAAATATTGTATTGTAAGCTATAACATATAATTTGAATAGAAATTAATCAGGTTAATTAATTTTTTCATTCAAAAATATTTTTAGGAATATGACTTCAGGTAATATTATATTTTAAATAAAGTTAAATTAGACTTAATACAATATATTCCGTAATTTTTAATTCTATTTTTATTGAAAAATGAAAAACCAAGAGCAAACAAAAAAAAATTAACAATATACTCATCCTGAATCATTCCCTCACTTTAGCATCATTCCCTCACTTTATACATTAGTGATAGAATGAAAAATTTAATAAAATTTAAAAATTCCAGTTAGGCCTAATTGCTTTCTGAAATCAATCACATACAGTTATATTCATACAAGAAAGCAAAATATAATTATCAACTTTCTCGATGAAGTTGTATTCTATTTTATTTTAAAAAACGACATGAGGGAATGACAAATGTAAAATTTTTTACCTGGTTTGATTCATTCAAATTTATTCCACAGCAAAGTTTCTTTAAGTTGAAGATGGAAACATACTGCAATTTTGTTCTATGATGCCAGTTATTAACTGCTAAAGTTTTTATTAAAATATTTTAATTCTAAGAAGATTGCAGACGATTAAAACATTGTTGTGAGGGAATGATGCGAAACGCTAGAGACAAAGTTTAAAATAGTGCTGTGGTAATATTTTTATCAGAAATTGAATTTAAAATTTATTTTCTGAATTCTATATTTCACTATTCTGAAATAAAAAACACAAATTTGTAAATTTATTTTTTTATTTTAGAAACAATTTTCTTCTTCATTTAAATCAACAGTGGGGACAAGTGAGGGAATGACATATTGGTATATTTTAATTACCTAAAATAAATAAAAAATAAAAATTGATAATTTTATTCTTATTCTTTAGTTAGCCTGTATTCTGAAAGACACTTTCCCTGAATTTTTTTTGGTCATAAGTTGTAAAACAAACATAAAATATACTGGGGACATGAAAATGACTGTTTTTGTGAGAATGACCCATATATATATGGGCGAATCTCAGGAATCATTAACCTATATGTCTTCAAACTTTTCTTATAAATATATAACATAATAAGAGAAAATTAATTCGAATAAAATTACAGGAATAACTATGCATTACTAACTTTAAGATATGTACAGTTTTGATCGCGAGTAACTTGCTTTTGGCTTTCATTTCTTACTTCAATGACAACTTTTCATGAGTGTCGCTTAGAGTGTTTAACATACTTTTTATTTTTATTTTTCAATATGTATTCTGTTAAAACTGAAAATCACTAAAAACATAATTTAGTAGCTCAGCTATACTATCATATTTTCTTGAATGATATTTTTTGTGAATATTGACGTTTGCAAACACTTAAAGTTTGTCTCCAAATTTTGGCACGTCAAACCGTAACCAGCGAAAATTGAAAAAAAAAGGTATACAATCCAATTCTGCGAGTTTTATGTTAGTGATATTCCAAAAGCTTATTTAAATTAAAGTAGAACAAACTTGTATCATTATTATAGATAAATATTTATATTTGCAGTAATTATAAATTAATTGAATTTATCACAAACTGTCATTCGGTGAGGTAACAGTAATGATGTCAAGACCATAACTAGACGCAGATCTAAAAAGTAAATGTCAAAATCAATCAAAATTTTGATCACACGTTTGTCATTGCCTAATTTATTATCTGTGTTGTGTGCATTGCATTGCGTTGCATCTGAGTAAAATTTTCGATCTATTCCCTAGGTTGTAAAGACCGTAACCCTGTCAAACCGTAACCTCAGGATTAATTAATTGAATTTAACATATCAGAAATTACTTTTTTCCCTATGTTTTACTAACTGAAGATATTTTTTGACTGAAAATAATTAAAGTAAGCCTTTTTATACATTTTATAACAATTTAACTTAACATTAAAATTTTTCAATTCATTTATGATATTTTTGATGAAAAATAAAGGGTAAATATGGAAAATTCAAAAATTTTAATTTTTTTTGTTTATACTTATAAAGGCATCAAAATTTTCGATGTTCACAATTATTTTCTGACATTTTATACATTTTCAAACAATTCTGGAGGTGTAAAAAGAGTGTGCCTATTATTTTTTTTTTATCAAAAGTTAAAGGTTCTAGAGATCTGCCCATATATATATATATATATATATATATATAGTAGAATAATGCAAACCTTGAAACGTGGAGCTTCAAGTGGAATTTTGTGTTTTACCTATTATCTCACTTATCTTTAAACTTACATACTAAATATGGCAATATTTAATTGGAACAGATTAATCTTAAAATGCTTTATAAAAATTTTTTAGAAACAAATACTTAAAAACACAACATATGCACTCAAGTATTTATTATTTACAGAAAAATTTTTTAACTTTTTGCAGCATTAGAATACAACAAACAAATTGATCAATTTTGATTTGCTTAGCCTTTGAAATTATAACCTCTTCGCAAATAATGTAATAAGTTTATAATTCTTGCTTAGTTATAAAAATTTCTCAACTGCAAAAATTATTGTTTACACCCAAAAAACTAGTGTGGTTTATGGAGAACTCGGCCTATAGAATTGCCTTATATAGATCTTCTACTGCATATATATAAACACACTCACCACTATATGATAAGGACATTTCTAAATAGATATTTTTAATACAGATAAATTCTTGTAACAAAAATATAATGTTTATTATTCACCACACATATCACATTGCGCTGATAATAACTATGTTTTTAAAACAAGTACTTGTCTTACTTGTTTAACAGTTGCAATCATTCTTGCTATGAGCATAATACTTGCAGTTTCAGGTGGATAGTGCATTTCTCTACAAAAATGAACAAAATTAAAAACATAGTACACCAAAAATTACATTATCATAAAACTTTTCTTTAATTTGAAATAAAATACTTTTGATATTTTCTCACGATAGCAGAATGACCACAAATATTCAGAAATTTTTTTTCCCTGATTTTCCAAATTGATTTTATCAAATTTTCCTGATTTTTGCACCTGGTGGCACAAATCTTCTTTTTATTTTCATTAATTATGCCTCATTCTGAAACATGAAAAAGCATTACAAAATATTTATATGTGCCAGTAGAGTTAAACTAAAGAAATTGTTACGAGAGATAATTTTTTTAGAAAAAACATTTGCTCAACATAAATGATTCATTTTCTTGATCTAATTCCTCTGATCTGTAGCCACGCTGTTTGAATTTTAAATTATACTGTTATAGATTAGGTCAAACAACATTTGTTTTTCATTCAAATACAAACTTCAATGTTATTAGCTGCAAAGAAAAAACTAGAAATTTTGCAATTTTAAAAAACAAATATTCTAACAATTAAGTTAAAAAAATAAACCAATTCAAATTTTAGAAGTAGTAAAATTTGTATTTGCTTTAACATTTATTCCAAGTAACATTTCTATCTTCGCTTTTTCGTTTTATTTTACGTTTTGCTGAAGTTCTTGAAAAAACAATTGGAATTCAAAAAACATATTTTAATTTTTCAGAAATTAGGAATAAAAAGTTTTGTGATCAAAAATATTTCACAGAATCGAGGGTCACCAAAAATGTATCCAGTAAGAAGAGTTTTGTCTATCAATAACATAGCAAACATGTAAGGAATTCAAATTTTTTGTAACATCACAAAAATTTAGGTTATTGAAGTTTGCGATATCATGGTTTGACTCTATATGTATGTTATGACAAAAATAATAAAGAGTAAAAGACATAAAAACCCTTAACCACTGCAGATAATATTAGCACTTCTAAGTAAAAAAAATTAACTTTGACTTGAATTGTGTTACTCTGGTTCTGTCTAAATACAAAAATGCAAATTGAAATACACTTGACAAAATTATTTTTTGTTTCTGTGAGGTGACTTAAAATTGATTTATAGTGAAGATATTGCTAAAATATTTGGCAAAGTCCAAAAACATTTTCAACAATCTAAATACTAGACAATGGAGTTGTGTGGTCTATATTAATTTAATATTTTAGCACAGAAAATTATGGGTATTAATACATAGTTTTCCATAAATGGCAGTAAATTTCTTAATTTTTTTTTTTTAAAAAAAGAACGTAACATCTTTCTAGAAGAGAGGTGCACATCCTTTTTGAGTGAAGGGCCACAGGCACACCAGATTGACCAACCAAAGGCAGCATGCCAAATTATTTAGACAGACAAGTTGACAGTAATTGTAGATAGTAATTGTTATCTAAACATCATTGTTCTCTTTTTATCAGTCAACTTTTTAACATGTTTGCATAAAATTAAATACTTTTAAATGATTAAAATTAGAAACTGTATAACTGATTACTTAGATAATAAAACAGAATCAATTTATCAGGGAAAAAAATACAGATAAATTAAAATAATTAAAAACTAGGGGAAAATTCAAGCTTTTTTTATCACATTACATAACAGCAAAGTCCATTTAAACATAAATTTTAGCATTAAAATATTAGTTCATAGAATTGAATTTAAAATTTTTCTCTAGTAATTAAAATAAATGCAAGTTGAATACTTTGATTTAGAGAAAGTTTATAGGGAGAAAAATGATTAAAATTAAAACAAAACCCTTTCAGCTAAAAATAAGATTCAACATTTAGTAAGGAATATACTTCAACTTTAAAAAATTTATTTTAAAATAAATTAAAAGAGGCAGGGGCTGAGAGAGGAAAAAAAAAAAGAAAGAAAGAAAACATTAATTTTGAAGGAACTATTTTCTTTAATAATAAAAACTATTAAGATATTTGTTTACAACTCTTTATGACCAATACTTTTTTAACACTACACTTACTATTTATAAGTAATACACATATATATTAACAATAAATTGAAATTTACATTACTTTATAATACTTCCCTTGATTACATTTTTTTACAGTTAAAATTTAATAATATACGAAATCATTTCCAAGCATATGACCATAAATTATATAAAATGGTCCACATAGGTAGAAAATGGTTTAAAAAATTTCTTAATTGTTCTCCTGCAATTTGAAACATTTCCGAATATTGTGATAATTTTATCTACTTGATTATGTGGGAGCTATATCAGGCCATTAAATGAAAATTTATTGATTTTGTTTGGGAAACAGTCTTTTGACAAAAGTTATTGTTGTGGGCAGTATTAAATTTAGGGCAAATAATTTAATCATTTTGTCCCAGATGGTGCTCTTCCTTTCTTGAATTGAAAATCGAGTGAATACAAATACTGATGCATTATTTTTTAATGGCTTAAGTACAATTGCCAGGTGTGATTTTTAAAACGTGTGCACATGAATTGAGATATGTGGTTTTAAAAGATTTAAGATTTTCTTGATCAACAATATCAAAGTTTCGTTTTCAAACTCAATAATTTAAAAAATAATTTTAAATATACGCAGAAATGAAACAATAGAGCCAAAAATAATTGGATGACTAGTAATATCTTGATTTTAATTTGAAGAAAGGAAAAACTATTAAAAAAAAAACTAGAAAATATCCATGGGATATTATTATACAACACTATAGTTTCTGAGCTTAAGAACTTAATTAAAACAGCAAAATCAGAATACTTCAAAAACAAATTTTTGAATTGTGATTCAAATGAACAAAAATGGGATCTTGTAAATATTATTGGTAATCAGAGCAAATCACCTACTTTACCTGATATTTTAAACGACTATGAATCTTCTGATCAATTTAATAAATCATTTGCAGATGCTATCAGTCCCTCAAACCCAAATTCAAACAGTTTTCAAATCTATATTTCACCAAGTTTAACCTCGTTTATTTTCTTAGAATTGAATGATTGTGATGTACTTTACTTCATAAAGTCTCTTTCTAATAGAAACTCCTTTGACTATGATGGTATTAATGTAAAATTAATTAAACTATTTGCTCTCAGAAATGTAAATTTTATAACTAATTTCGTCAATACCTCAATCAAGTCATCCATTTTTCCAACTTCTTTAGAAAGAGCAACCATAACTCCTATTTTTAAAACCGGCGATAAAAATTGCTTATCAAACTATAGATCAATTTCAATATTACCTGTTTTTTCCAAAATCATTGAAAAAGCTCTAACTGATAAAATGTACAATTATTTACAACATACAAATTTTTCCTCTAAAAATCAATATGGATTTATTAAAGGCAAAAGTACAGAAAAAGCTCTTTTGGAATTCTCAAAATTTATTCATAATAGTATTGCTGAAAATAAGATAACAGTAGCTATATTTCTTGATATATCAAAAGCTTTTGATAATGTCAATCACAATCTTTTAATAAAAAAATTAGAATTTGCTGGTTTCAGAGGAATTATTTTAAATTGGTTTATTTCATATCTTTCAAACAGAGAACATAGAGTTAAAATCTGAAGTAATTTTAGTAATTATATTTTTCAAACCCTGGTGTTCCTCAAGGATCTATTCTAGGACCCTTATTGTTTATTATATTCATCAATGACTTTTGTCAACTCAAACTTTTTGGTAAGATAATAACATATGCTGATGACTCCGTAATTTTGCATTCTTGCACTGATTTAAATCAACTAATTTTTCAAATTGAATCTGATTTACACGTAATTTCAAAATGGTTTACAGTAAATGATTTAAATTTAAATAAAACTAAATATATTTATTTCAGTTTAAGAAAATCAGAATTTAACTTAAATTTAAAATTTCACTGTCTCTCCTGTAAAAGTACTAATGAAAATTGTCAATGCTACATTCTACAATCTGTAAATAATATCAAATATTTAGGACTATATATCGATTCTAATTTGAAATGAAAAACACATATTAACAATTTAGTTAAAAAATTGCGTTTTGTTTTAGTTAAATTTTATCATCTTAAGAATAAAATTCATTTTAATTTTGTAAAAGCACTCTATTACTCCTGGTTTTATTCTTTAATTAATTATGGCGCAATAATATATGGTAGCGAATATGAAACTAATTTACTTCCTTTAATCTCAGTTCAGAATAAATGCTTCAAGATTATTAATTCTCTAAATATAAATAATTCAAGTATTACTACTACCAATATATATACAAGAATTAACCTATTACCATTTCGCCATAATGTATTTTTTCGTATTTTACTTTATTTACACAACAATAAATTAATATGCAAATTAAAAACTAATGCATCTGAAAGGAGACCAACTGAAATACATGAGATTCCCCACTTTACAAAAGAAATTTCACGAAAACAGTTTTTTTACTTAGCACCTAAATTATATAATAAATTACCATTTCAGTTGCAAAATATCCAAACATATTCTTCTTTTAAGCGTGCTTTATTTCAATTTGTGATGAACATTGACGATTTAGTTTCCTATTTTACACTTTAAAGGATGCATTTGATTTTTTATACCAGTCTTGTGCCAATCCAAATGAATTTCTTATGTTACCTTTGTTTTTTTTTAATATGGTTTCATGTATTTTTTTTTTTAATTTCTATTTTAAATTTATTGTATTACCTTTCTTTGTTGCCTGGACAGGATTTTCCTCTTGGTGATGAATATATATTCTTTGTATTTATGTGTTTGTTTTTGTTCCCAATAAAGTTCTGTTTGTTAAAAAAAAAAACATGTGAACATGAATTGCAGTCCATGATTTTCTAATTGGGAGAAAAGTAACAACATATAATTTTTTAAAAGCTAAAATATGAAAAGCAATTTGTGATTTTAAATATTATGAATACGAATCATGATAGATGTTTCTTATGTCTCATTAATGTTAATACAAAATGCGATTTTTAGATCATGTGAATATGGATTATGATGTGACTTTTAAATTGTGAGAAGAATCCAAAAATATGATTTTTAAAACGCGTAAAATACGAATCACGATATGTGATTTTTAACTGTTACAACGAAAAAGAATAGGTTCAGTATGCGTTGTTAAACTTGCACATGTTCATGGGGGTAAAGAAATATGCATATGTATTGAATTATTTTTCTGCAGTACTTAATATAAATTTACACATATTGTTTTTTTATTCTCTCTTGGAAGGTGTCGATTTTATGAAGATACATATTTACTTTTTAAGTTACAAAAAAAAATGTAAAACAGAATCGAATTTCACGAGTTGTAATATTGTGCTAAAATATCAGGATATTCAAAATGCAGTAAATATTGGGATTTTCAAAACTATGCAAAAATCCGTAGCGCTAACAATTGAAACAAAAGCAATCGAAAAACTACATTGATTGAGATTGGATGCATCAAAAAATTAAATTTTAATTTTTAAAAATTAAAATTTTTTTTCTCATTTTGTTCAGGTTGGTGCAGCGGGTTGCAGGTTGTGCACCCCTATTCCATAATATCTAGAAATTATTTCAAATACCCAAGGAAGCAGAATTTTTTCCTTAAATTAATGATACAATGTCCCTTTTAATAATACAATGCCTCCAACTTAAATGCATCTTTATCCATAATTCTCATAAAAATGCATATTTTTATGTGTCTGAGAATTTTAGAGTTGTAAAAATACGAGTAAAATGCAATATTAAACATTAATTTTTTTAAAATCAAGAATTCATTCATTCATTTAAGTAAAAAAAAAAATGATATTTTTTTCTTGAAAGAATCATTCTTGACATGAAGAACTTTGTGAAAGGATGATCATTTTTGAAGTTTAGAGCTTTTTGAAAGTTCCATTGAAAATGTTTAGAATTTTATGGAAGCTCTTTTTTTAAGGCATAAAGTACAGTAATAAATAAATAAATGCTCAACATACTTGGAAGTGGGCACAAGCCTGAGTAAAACAGAATTTTTAGCACAACTTAATTGTTTCTTCAGAAGAGACTTTCTAAATTTTTATATTACAATGAAATATTAATTGCTCAGATAAAAAAATGATGAGTTCAAGTAATTACAATAAAATAAATTTTCACAATCAAATGATACAATTTTATAATTGAAATATTAACTTCAACAGACTTGACAAAATTTTTGTAATTTTTTTTTTTACCTCCAAGCATTTTGAAGTTGATCCAAAGGATGCTGAGTATTACCAAGGTAAGATGATGTACATAGTACTTGATGATATTGCTCCCAAGCTTGTTCTCTGCAGTGAACATTGCAATAACTAACCTTCACAATAAAAAAATAAACATTATATATTTTTTCTAAAGCAAAAAACAATATAAATAAAGCACAAAAGGTAAAGAAAGTGCTTTGTTCACTTCTTTTCCTGAATTAAACATTTACATATGCACATTATGCTTTTTAATTCTATAGTGGAAAGTCGCGTACCCGGAATCGGCGGGACTTCCGGAAGTCCGGATATTAGATTTTTCCATATAATAGATCCCCAAGGTAAACAAAGCTTAAAACGATCTGAATCAAGAGGCAAAAAATAAATAAACATTATTTTTCGGGCAATAATGTTTTAGTATTACAATGTTATCTAATCAATCAAAAACAAAATATTAGAAAAAAAATAATTATTGCTTAAAATATAGAAAACAAAAAAAAAATTGACAATTTTGAAAATATTAAATGCTCTCTCCGGCATTTTGAACTAGAACAATTCAAGCAAGAAGGGGAAACTCCCGTCATTCATTAAGGTGGGTAGGTGGAAGAGAAAAATTTATTTCCTCCTTATTTTTCATTCAAGTTGAGGACGGGGAAGTGACAAATTCTTATTTTCTCTCCCATCATTGGCTATCAATCAAGCATAAAGGTGCGTCATGCTGATTGGGTTCTCTTTATTTTTTTCTTGTGTGACTGAAAGTGACTTCCCCTCCCCTCGTTTGCTGTGTTTACATTTAACTGCATTAACATTACATTATTAAATAAAAAGGTTCCAGGAAATGCCTCTTTTACTAGCCAGCTGCATAGGAAAAAAAGGGGGAGGGGACTCAGTTGTGCTCTTTTGAAAACAAATCTTCCTCCTTTCCTGCATTCCAGAGGAGGAGCGCCACTAAGGGTCACTGGGCAGTCTTGGTAGACCTTCTCTTCCCCTTTCTGTTGATTTATGGGTTCAATGCATAAATCACTAGAAGCTAGAAAAGGAAAAAACATGTCAAAAGACCTCTTTTTTTAAGAGAGGGGAAGATGAATAGATGTTTGTTTATTTTGATTGTTAAAGAGTGTCCGGGAAATCGACCCTTCCGAAAAAGGGACATCCAGATATGGGACGTTACGCTGTATTAACAACCCATATAGCACTTACCTTCCGAAACCATTCCCTAGGACCACCAAAATGCGCGGATAAATAGGGGAACGCCGAGGGAAATTCCATTCTAACATTCCTACGGATAACGATACGAAGGAAGTCCTTCAGAAACATCGCCTACGGATATTCCCCCACCGGTCATCCGTTAGAAATCTATCCAATGAATTTTCCTCCCTTGTTATTCCATAGGAGCATCATAATTGGTCTCATTTTTGCCCATGCGCTCTCGTACACTCACTCCGCACTTACGATTACTGGATGCTACGCTACTTATTTGAAGTGAGTTTGAGTTTCAATTGTTCAACATTGCTGGAGTTTCATGAGCAAATAAGTAAATATTAATTCTTACCTTTTTAATATGATGAGATAAATTTTTAAATTCTTTGTAAAAACAGCAACGTCTTTTAATTAAACATATTGAGAAATTGCTGTTTATATGCGTTACTGAAAATACACGAACATGTTTCATTGCTCAATCACTAAGCCTACTAACTGTGATTCTGAAGTAAAGAAACGTTTATAAATAAGTTTTCTTAGATGATCCTATTATGGTAGGTAGTAACTTATATTAAATTTGGTTTTTCTGATAATTTCTGGCTAAAATTTCCATCAAATGATTTAAATCTGCCACAAGTGCACTTAAATACTTTACACCTGAAGTTCTTATAGAAATAATAAAATTATTCTGAGAACTATAATTGGCTAAGTATTCTAATGAAAAATATTTTTAAATATCTCTAAGTATTGTTTAAGTTTAGTTGTTTTGTTTTAAGCATCATTTGTTAATTCAGTTGTTTTGTTTTAAGTATTGTTTTTTTTAAAGTATAATTTTGATCAACTTAATGAATTCTTTAAATGAAATAATATGAAACATACTCCAAAACTTATGAAAACTAAGCTTGCTATTTATAGATTGAATCCAAATAAGTTAAATGTATTCAACTGTTTTTAATATCAATTTCAGAAATATATAAACTTTTTGCTTCTTTATATCAGAACCTACCATTATTCTTCCCGGTAGCGCTTCGCGCTGTCGTGCCACAGTTCCCTGGTTCGATCCTCGGGCCGGGCAGGGTTGACTCAGCCTTTCATCCCTTCAGTGGGTCGATAAATGAGTACCAAGCATGCTTGGGAACTAAACACTGGGGGTTCCGCGTTCGGCAGACCACCTGACCGGAACATCTGCTTCTGCACCCCAGAGCCCAAGGTCAAGAAAACTGAGATGGGCACAGTAGGCCTTGGCCCTCTATGGGCTGTCGCGCCACTGAGTTTAGTTTAGTTACCATTATTCTTCCACTATTCCCAAAATAATAAATTCTTATCTATAGAGAGAGGGTTTAAAATTTATATTATCCTGATACAAATTCTTTCTTGAATATGCATATTAATGTTCATTCAAACATAAATTGAAATTTTATTTTTGTGATTATAAGCCTTATTAGGAGAAATTTTATCTTGTGTAAGATATATGTAATATGAGTATAATTATAAGTAGAATTATTATGCTAGTTGAACTTTAACTGTTCTATAATTTTTATAAGTATGAAATTATAGGCAAAATTTAAAAAATTTTAAAAAAATGTTATTTTAAAAATAATAATTTTTTTTTTCTTTATCAAAATTAAGCGACTGGCCATTTCACTTGCTATGCAACATCTTGTTGTTGCTGCGGAATCTAGATTTTTGATTATTTTACTTTAATAGATATATTTTCCAGAGTAATTATTTCTATTTTTTTGTTTTTGAATTGAAAAATGTTTTTAAAGAAGTGCAAACTTTACACTTTTAAATGTAAACTTAAATAAAAAAGAAAATTTTTAATATTTCTGTGGTAGAGCATACTTTAAGTTTCGGTTTAAATAAAATGTCGTATGTGTTAAAATTAATGGTTATTTGAAATATCTGTTTTATTTCATTAAAATATTTTTCCCTGTATGACTGACTCACAATGTACATTATTGTTTTTTTTAGATACTTATGAAAAAGGTCATCAGTTATTGGTTAGAGCAGAATATTAGTCAGATATTGAGAACAGTACTGATGCAGAAAACAGGTCTAAAAGAAAAAGGAAAGAATATGACGAGAAAGAAATCCGCTACATTAGTAGGCATGCTCTACCAAAGCAGCCTTTGAAAGAACAATGTATAAATAGTGTCGAAAAGTTGAGTATCAAAAAGTTCAGCCACGATGTAGATGTTCAACCACAGCCACATTCAAGTACCTATAAATTATTCTATATTAGTTTTCAACTGAATAATTGTTCATAATATTTCTTTAGAGCAAATATAATAAATTAAGTGGAGTACCAGGGCTTTAGCCAGAATTGTTTTTCGGGGGGTGATGCAAATATATATGTATTCATTATTGTGTTGATTAATAATAATTTATGATATAAAAAAATATGTATTTGTAACATGTATAATGCATGGAGAATTTATACAACAAGATTAAAAGTAGTGATCGAAAAATTTTAAAAATTGCTTTTTAAAAAATTAATTGCTTCAATTCTAATCAGATTATAATTCATCCTTCTGCAAAGTTTAACATAAAAATTTACATTATATTAATACAAAATTATGCATTAAATAAAAATAAGGAAATTTTTAAGAAAAATAATTGTTATTAACCAATAACGCTGAATTATTACAAAATAAAGTTTATTTAAATGCTTAATCTATTAATATTGATATTTGCTATAAATTTGAAGAACTTGCCGTTTTTTTTTTTTTTGCTTTTTCACCTTTTGAATATAAATAACATTCTTCAGTGTGACTTTAAGATTTGTAGATCAGTACAGCACTTCGAGTAAAAAAAAATTTCTCTCTATAATATAAAAGGATAATGGCAAACAGCTAGCCAATAAGAATATTCCTTTTGTATGACATCATGGATGTTTGAATGTAAAACCTTTTTCATTCAAGATACATAAGTATGCATGTAAAATTAGTAGAAACTGGAGTTATGGTTATTGTTATTGATGTTTTTAAGTTCTTAAAATGTCGTGGTTGCACACTTGCTTTTAAATTTCAAGAAATTAAAATGCAAATAATAGCAGAAATTTTGGAGCAAACTTATGATTATATTGGCCAGTTTATTAATCAGAGCAATTTTTGGATAGATGTCATGTTGTTTTACAAATTCTTGTTTAAAAATTAAAATTGTAGGTGATAAAACTGAGGACGAAAAGCAGATAATCAGTAGCATTGTTAATTAAAAAAAGTTCTTTAAGTTTTTTTTTCTCTTCCCAAATTTCATAATTTTTTTTACCTCTTTTGTATGTGTGTAAAGTAAATAATAGCTAATGTTTGTTTAATTTGACCATTGTTTTGCAAGTTTCCAGTCTACCATTTAAGGTCTTATAAATGATATGCAAATTTATATGGGTTGATAAAAATGGGTTTGGATTATATTTTGATTTATTTATTTAATGAAAGCATTACACATGCTGCCAACGTCAAAGGATTTATTAATTTAGCAGCAAAACAAGCTCAGGTCGCAAAGTGATCTGGAGAGAACTGCGTATCTGTTTTGGGGTTGGTAAGCGTTTGCGAGCAGGGGCAGGGGTTCCTAGTAAAATTAAACAATGAATTGGTTTAAAGGCTATATAATCTTCTCTTATTTTAGTATTGACTGGAAATATATTGTGTGGTATTCAGGGGTGATTGTGAGGCCAAGTCAAAATTCCAGAAAATTTCTTGAGTTAAAAAAAAAATTTTAAAATGAAAAATTAGAAAAAAATTTAAACAAGGTTTTTTTTTCCTTTTTTTCAATATTTCTTAGTTTACTTAAAAGAGTTTTAAAATTTTACACATACCTATACCATTTACACATATCTATGATGACCTGGAGAAGTAATTAAAATTTACAAATATGTCTTTCCTTCTTGAGTTTATGATTATAACAAATATTTACT